TTACGTCGGGATTAGTCATTCTTGCTCTGTTTCTCTGGGTGCTGACTGAACCCGTTCAACATTCACTTCGGGAACATTTTCTTAAATCATAGTTTTAGTGTTTGCTGGTTTCCACTGTTTATTTTCTTCTCCGAGGTTTCCTTGTATATGCATATTGTACTCTCTTTGCCTTTATTCTGCATTTATTGCTTTGTTTCACAGTAGTTTCAGCACTTTAAATGCACACAGTGAAATGCACGTCTTTGGTGTTACAGTTTGATTAGCTTTGGCAAATGCATACGTCCGCCATAACCCCTGCCCTACCAAGGATACTGAGTCATTGCATCGACTTAGATACCGCCCTGTGCCCTTTGCACGAAATCGTCCTTCCAACCCTGATTCAAACAATGTTTTGATTGCTTCCATAACACAACACTCTGCTAGAATTTCATATAAATTGAAGTATTCATGTTTTTTTTAATTTAAAACATTTTTCCGGTTTCCATGTTCTGTTTCTTTTAAGGGACGATCCACTGTGTCTATTCACTCCTGTGTCCCTTCTAGCTTAGCCTTGATTTCTGAAATTACTTTCTCTTTTGTTTCTAATTCTTTCCTGGGTTCTTTTCACGTCTCTTTCTAGTCTCAAATTCTGTTGCTTCTCATTATTTTCCCAATCCTGATTTATGCTGTTCTTCATGATGTCTACCATTCTCTCTGTTCCTTGTAGCTCATTCTGAAACATTAGATTTCAGTTTCATGTTGATGTGACTTGCCGACAGGTTCGTCGTGTAACTACTGTTACACTGGTTTATGTAATTGTTGTTCGCTGATTCGGCTTTTAATATCGGGAAGTCATCTTTCTGTCTTCAGCGATCACCTAACACAGTGCCTCGCAACAGTAAGCAGTTGACAAATATACATCTTAATGAACTGAAGCCTGGCCTGTTGTGGTCAGTGTGAGGTTTTTCTCCACCTTGTGGAAAAGCTCCATCTGACCCCATAAAACCCCAAGACTCATGGACCATGAGGTACAAATCATAGAGCCGAAGGGAGCTTAAAGCTTTTCTCGCTCAACTGCGTTATCAGTAATTCCTCTTCCACAAGCAACTTGCTAAAGATCATAGATAGGAAGTCGCAAAACTGAGGGCAAATCCCTGGTTTCCTGACTCTTAGTTTCGTCCTCTTATATCCTGACAGCCTCAAAGTAAAGAAAAGTGTGTTTCTGTACAACGCAGAATTTGTACAGCTGTTGCCTGTCTGCTTTCTGTCTCTTTTCTTTCACAGCCCCCATCAGTTTCCTCACCTGCCTGGTGTTCACCCAAACCCGTGGGTGGGAGGGCTCTCTGAGCTGTGGTTCTGAGAGAGAGAACGAGGGAAGGAGGAGAAAGGGGATGAACCTTAGGCACCAGGAGACCCCTGTTCATCCTCTCCCCTCCCCCGGCCACCAGCATCAGTAATGCAGCAGCTGTAGCGCGAGTGACCAGCTTCCTCTGCCAGACTCGTAAAAGCAGACTGCAGGGCCTCACCCGGAGGACAAAATTGGGAGCACTCGATGCAGCCCAGGAAGACCTCTGTTCACAGAAGGCAGGCAGCATCCTCGACAGAGCGGAGGCTGTTCAAGCAGAAATAAAGGATCGCGTCAAAGGGTTTCCTCTTTGCAGCTGCTGGTTCTGAATATCATGGACTGAGAAAAAAATGATGTATCGTTTGTTATATAAAATAACCGATTATATTACATAATTTTACGTCTGTTATAAAGAGCCTTGGAGGAACGGCACCATCATGGGTAAGACCCCAGTAAGCGTCGTGAGGATGCTGGAGGAGACCCCAGGCTCTGACACAGGACGTTTTATCTCAGAGCCGCTAAACTCGGGTTCGGGAATGGCTATAGTCGGGGAGGAGTGCGTGCAAGTAAACACAGAGGAAATGAGCAAATAGGAATTAGGGGTTAGAGACAATGACAAGCCAGTCTGTGTTAGAAGAAATAGTATTGAAGGATGCTGAAGTGACAAAAATAAAATTCCACTCATTTCAGCCCCTTTACCTCAGACGTAATCATAATCTATCATACTCAATGTCGGAAAAATTCACTCCAAGAAGAATGTAAGAATGTAAGAATGTAAATTGTAAGAATGTAAGACTGTAAATGTAAGAATGTAAGAATGTAAATTGTAAGAATGTAAGACTGTAAATGTAAGAATGTAAGAATGTAATTTGTTGGGGAATTCCCTGGCGGTCGAGTGGTTAGGACTCCACGCTTTCATTGCCGAGGGCACAAGTCCAATCCCTGGTCAGGGAATTAAGATCCCACAAGCTATGCAGCGCGGCCAAAAACAACCAAAAGATGAAGAATGTAAATTGTTGGATGTGTTTGTTTAAATACTAAAAAGAAGGATGGTAAATAGCTGTAAAATAGAGCCAAGAGCCAGAACTCACACTATTCACTACAGAGCAGGGCCCCTCCCTTCAAGGTGCAAAATAACCCTTGTGGTCGTGTTAATGCGGATTCTGACTCAGTAGCTCCAGATGGTCAAGACCGTGCCTCCCTGACAGAATCCCAGGTGGTGCTAATGCTGCAAGTTCTCAGCCGACTCTAGGTGGAGACTTAAGCTGCGCCTGCCTCAAAATGCCATGATTTCAACCCACTATGAGGCTGGTGCAGTTCAAGGAGATCCCCACGTAGCGTTATTCCAATCCCATAACCCTTGGGACTGTTCATTGAGCACCTGCTGCATACCAGGACCAGAGGGGCTAAGGAACCAGGGTTCTTTGGTCTCAGGCTCTGGGCAGGGCAGGGGCTGAGGAGGAGGTGACGTGAGTAGCTGTCACGCTGGCAGAGAAGGACGCACAAGGAGGTAGAGGAGAAACCGGAGCCCGGCTGCCGGGAACACACCAGAAAAGGGAAGATCACTCTGGCTGAACTGTAACAGGAGACTCCGTCCAGGAGGAGGAATTTGAATAAATGTAACCAAGTGTCTTTTGTGAGATACTCACTTCAGATCCAGGCAGGAGCTGAGTCTGAGAAGCCTAACTGAGTTTCAAGAAGGTTATTCTGGTCTTGTTGGTACATCCAGCCCTGCATGAGGGGCCCAGCAGCTTCGCTGTGGAAGGATGAAGATCAGAGAAGCTGGGCGTTTGCGCCAGAAACGCCTGGATGAGCTTGGAAGGTGACTGGGTGCGGAGGTGATGGTCACACATAGGACATGCTTCGCAGGTGCTCAGAATCAGTGGTTTTAGCTCTCGGATTGTGACTGGGCCCCAGGGCCGAGGGCTTCTTAGAGCCACAGCAGCAGAGCCAATACTGTGTCCTGCTCTAGGACATGTGACACAGTGTCACAATGGTGACACCCACACCTCCCAGTGCATATACTGCCCTCGACTGGTCAGCTGTCGACTCAGTTAAACTGCTGTTTTCCAGTTAGTCGCAAGGGTGTCTTCTCTCTCTCCTCCTCTGCTCAGTCTGAAATTTTGGATACCTGTAGCTACCACCAAACCCAGCAGTTATAATGTAAGAAAATTCTTAAATCTCATAGAAAGCCAGAGCACCTGAAAGCCCCAAGAGGGAATGTTTTCCTACATAACAGTTATTAATTTGCAAAGAGGAAAAGCTGTCTCCCAAAATCTTAGGCTTGGGTATCTTCTTTTCTTTTTTAACATTTGAAACCCTAGAAAGGAACATGACCTAGGGAGAAACAGTTTAGAAGACTTCTTAATTGTATCCCAGATGCACTGACATTCCTCTAAGCCGAGCACCACTGAGGCAAGGAAATTTCCAGTCTGCTTCCTGGGACCCTGATGAAGGCCAGTGGCAAGTGTGAGTGTTGAGATAATTCTAACACAAGGGAAGAACATACTAGAACGTGTGTGTGAGATTTCCTCAGCCGGGGAACTTAGTCCCTGTACAGCACTAACATGCAGGTCTTCCTATCACTTCTAAATCTGTGTGGGGCATTTTTTTGTTGTTTTTTGTTTTTTTGTTTTTATCACACAGAGGTATTTTATTGTAAGTTATATGCAAAAGCAACTTAGTTCTTCGGAAAAAATTTTTTAAATAAAATAGATCAATATTTAAGATATACTAGACAAAAAAAAAAACCCTGAATAAAGATGATAAAGATAAAAATATATTACTCAAAAAAATCCTTGAGGGCTTCCCTGGTGGCGCAGTGGTTGAGAGTCTGCCTGCCGATGAAGGGGACACGAGTTCATGCCCCGGTCCGGGAGGATCCCACATGCCGTGGAGCGGCTGGGCCCGTGAGCCATGGCCGCTGAGCCTGCACGTCCAGAGCCTGTGCTCCGCAACGGGAGAGGCCACAACAGTGAGAGGCCCGCGTACCGCAAAAATAAATAAATAAAATCCTTGAATTTATTAGAATATAAAACTTTAATGTCCCTCTAGTCAAAATTTTATTCACAAGAGGCTGTAGGTTGGTTGTTTGTTGGAAATCTGTTTGAAAAGTTCAAAAACTAAAACAGTTGCTTTATTTCTTTGTTCCATTAGTAGTAAGTCACAGGATCTTTGTAAGTCAACCCTCTCTTCTTTGGTGTGAGTTTTCTGCTGGGGTGAGAAGCCGTGGGCCTGGGAGAGTTGGACGAACTGCCCCACTTCCCCTGTGGTCGAGGCTGGTGAGGGTAGGCTTGCCTGTGGGTTTCAGCAGGTTGGCTGAAATCACGAGTTTCTCTAGAGCGGCAGTGGTTCCAATTCCTGCAGAGTCGCCTTCATTTGGAGCAGAGACTAGAGTATAGAGATGCAAGGAGTCCATCTCTGGCTCCCTCTGGCCGCTGCCCCCCAGGGAGCCTGTCTAACTCGGCAGAGTAGGTGGGCTCGGATCAGCAGCTATGCACCCCAGCGACCGGGAAACACTGAGACAACCAGGGTCTGGCTGATGAGCAGCTTTTCAGGCGTGATTTTCTTGTCTCATCTCTGTTTCTTCCTCCTCCAGGAGAAATGGGCCCCGTGAGGCAAGCGTGACCCTCAAGTCCAGCCCGCCAGCCCGACGCCCGGCCGGGAGGACAACACCATGGCTGGAGTCATGGAGCAGAAGAGCGGGCTGGTGCGCAGCAAGCTCAGCGAGGCCAGCAAGAGGAATGGCCTGATCAACACCAGAAGCCTCGTGTCTGAGAGCAGGGATGGCCTGGTGTCCGTGTACCCGGCGCCCCAGTACCAGAGCTGCCGGATGGTGGGCAACGCGGCACCGGCCACCCCGGACGGCAGCAGGAACAAGCCAGTCCAGCAGCTGCTGGACCCCAACACCCTCCAGCAGTCGGTGGAGTCCCTCTACCGGCCCAACATCATCCTCTACTCGGAGGGCATGCTGCACCCGTGGGGGGACAGCGTGGCGGCCGACTGCTGTGAGACCACCTTCATCGAGGACCGGTCGCCCGCCAAGGAGAGTCTGGAGTACCCCGACGGCAAGTTCCTCGACCTCTCGCCCGAAGACATCAAGATCCACACGCTCTCCTATGACGTGGAGGAGGAGGGGTTCCAGGAGCTGGAGGTCAGAGCACGTGTCTGTCATGGGCCTTCGGGAGCAGGGTGTGGGGCTCCGGCGGGATACGAGTAAGTCGAGGCATGAAGCTAGTGTGCGTAAGTGCAGGGAAACCGAAGCCTTCTGGGTGCCCTTCACTCAGAACATTTGTGGAAGATGCGGGGACGGAGAAAGAGCTGAGGACCAGGACCCGGGGGGCTTCAGCAGAGATTCTGGTCGGAGAGGGCACAAGGCCACAGCCGTCGGGACAGGGCTAAGATGGATTTAACGGTTGACAGTGCTGGCAGGGGGTGGGGCTCTGCTGACACCCCGCCCACAGGGGAGACCGGTCACTGGCAAAAGCGAGCAGGGGAGGGGGGCTCATGGTCCTAGGGCCACACAAGGCTGGAAGTACACGTGTGGGGACAATTTGGGATGTTTTTGCTGCTACGTGTGGTTTCCTTAATTTGACATTCCAGAGCGTCTACTAAGGATGATTGGAATAGCTGAAACCTGCTGGAAGAAACAGTTGAAATTGATAGCATAAGGCGCAGACGAGCTGAATTATTGCAGGGTCCGGTCTCCCGTAGGGCAGGCACAGGCGTCAGATCACACGCCCAGAAACGTGCGTGTTGGCCGGGGTGTGACGCACGGCCGCCCCCGTGGAGGGCAAGGGTGAGGCTGGAGCGGTCTGAGCCCAGGAGGCCAGCACCCAAGCCGGGGGGCAGTCATTTTGCTGCTGTGAGGCTAGAGGGGGTTCCTCCAGGACACGCATGGCAAGGAGAGAAGAGCCGGTTTCTGTCAGTTGGGAGGGAGAGACCTTTAGGAGGAAGCGTGTGGTCAGAGGGAAAGGAAGTTTGTTTCCTACTTTGATAGGTGAGAACTTTTTGTGGGTGGAGGGAAACGTCCAGGGCAGAGAATGCCGGGGGGCAGGGGGGACAGGAGTTGGCGTCCAGGCGTAAGTCTGGTCTTTCTCGAGCCGTCCACACAAGGCTTGTCTGAGAAGGTTAACAAGTCCACGTGCTCTAGGTGGAAGAGGATGGGATGAGGGCCCACGTGGGGGAGGGTCATGGAGCTGGGGGAGGGGGAGGACCCTCAGGGCGGTGACTAAGGGGAGCGACCGTCCTAGAAGAGACAGCCAGCGTCGGGGGTGGGGGCGGTCCGTGGGCAGGTGTGGTCAGGCCCGAGCGCTGTGACCTTCCCCGTGACGGGCGGCCGCCCTTCAGCAGGGGAGGCTCAGGGCACAGCAAGCTTGGGGCTTCCTGCCTGCAAGCTGGGAGAGGCAGGAGAGAGCAAGGGAGGGTGTCTGGAGTAGACTCAGCCCCACCGCGGGGGCCCAGACTGGGGAGAAGGTCAGTGAGGTCACAGGGAGCTGATGGGCCCGGAGACCAGGGGTGTCAGGACCGGAGGTAAAACGAGAACGAGAAGCAGCCGGAGAGGTGGTTTTAGTCCAAACAGATATTCAGAAACGGAAAACAAAATGTGCTTTTGTAGCAAACCCTGTGAACAAAGCCCCGAACCCAGCTGACGGGGAGTGGAGCGGAGGGCAGCTGTTGGAAGCCATTGGGAAGACCAGCACACCCGGGGACCCCGTCAAGGGTCAGAGCAGGGCTGAGCTTGGGCCGGGCTGAAATTTGAGAAAGTTGGGCGAGTGCTTTAGCTGCCATTCAGGAGCCTCTGTTCAGCATCCACTTTTACCAAGGTCTGGGGTTTTGCCTAAAGCCAAAGTGTAAGTGCTGTGTGGAGTTTAGGAAGCAGACATACAAAGATGCAACTTCAGGGAAACGCGGGAGTTATGGTGATGGAAACCCGCTGCTCCGAGAGCCTCCGAAGGAGAGGCTGACCCCCGAGCTCAGCGTGGGGCTCAGTTGTGTCTGCAGAGGAGGCGCCCGGTTGCACCTGGCAGGGGAGAGAGAGACCCTCCGGCAAGAAGTTTCATCGGGGTAGGGGGTGAGAATCAAAGGGACGTCGTGAGCAGATGGCACACAGAGGTGTCCAACCTAGATCTGCGGGGACAGCGAGGGGTTAGACCTGGTGGGGCCAGGAAGGCAGGACCAAGGGGACGCGGGGTCCTGTCCCTGAGGACCTCACTGCCGTCTCGGGGAGACTGGATTTTAGGTGGGGACACAAACCCAGAGGCTTGGAGACAGGAGGGACAGTAAGAGCGTCCAGAGGAGCCCCACGGAGGGGCGGGGCCGAGACTGGGAGCCCAGCCTGTCTGCAGCTCCAGGGGTGCCGCCGTGCAGGCTCGTGTGTAGGGGGTCCCGGGGGCATGGGGGTGTTTCAGGTAGGGGTGCATCGTCAGAGCTGCTCTGGCTGCAGAGCAGGATGAGGGGCCTGTCATAGAAGAGGATGAGAGAATCAGGGCAGCATTACAAGTGAACAGATGCTCAGGAAGTGGTACCTGCCATTGTCTGGAGAAGATAGGAAGGAAGGGTCGGGGCCTCTCTGTGCACAGAGGGTCCCAAGCCCCCCATTGGCCAGGCTGGCTGGCACAGGATTTTCAGCTTTGTCACAAGTTCTTAGAAATCAGCTCCAACACATAACATCCCCAGCAGTGAAAAGTGGGGGACACTTAGTAGACTGAAAATGTAGGGGTAGCTCCTGCCTACACTGTTTCTTCATCCCTCGTGTGGGCCTCAGGCCTCCCCTCTCTCTGGTCACATCCTACATGCAGGAAGTGTTCTGTTTTCCCATTCTGTGAAAAAATAATGGGCATGTGTGCATTAGCATTTGCTGTGTAACAAATCTCCCCCAAATAGGTGGCTTCTAACAGCCCTGTGAGCTCGTGATTCTCGGGGTCAGCATTCTGCAGGGGTCTCAGCTGGATGGAGGCTGCTCTGCTGGGCTTGCCGGGTTCCCCCACTGGCCTGAGCCTGAGAATGTGGGCTGGGCTATTGGCCCAGGTGACAGAGGTGACAGGACCACATGCCTCTCATCATGTGGCGGCCGTGGTGGGGATTCCGGGAGCAGAGAGCAGGTTGAACAGGGAGCCAGGACTTTTCAAGTCTCTGCCGTGGAGTACACGTTATACATCTTATCTTCCAAAGCAAGTCACATGGCCAAGACCAAAGTCGGTGTGGGAGGGGCTACTCAGGGTGGCAGGATAGGAAGATGCCAACCACAGGGCCAGGACTGCAGCAGCTCCCACAGAGCAAGCATCACTTTTGAAGATCATCGAATTGAACAGAATGAGAACAGTCCTGGTCGTATTGTAACTCAAATAAAAGATCATGGTCCGTATTGATGTGGGGCTCTCCCCAGAAGGCAGTTCTCCTTCCGATAAAAGGGAAACTGTGGTTTTGACTCCTTGGGGAGTTCCGTGGCTTCACTCGGTCTACAGCAGATCGATTCTGTTTCCTGGAAATCACAGTTTTCAGAGAGCTTTGCCCTGGTAGGAGCAGGGCCTTGTCACCGGAGCCTTTCCTCTGCCCCCATCTCTGCCTGGACAGGCTTGCCCAGCACTCGGAGTGGAGGTGGCCTGGTCCAGACGGGTCCGCTCACCGGGCGCACATCTGTAGGAACTCCTGCAGCTTTATTTGCCTCTGGGGCGGTGGTGCTGGCGTGAGCGGATCTGCAGCTGATTGAAAGCATCTTGTGCAGAGGCCTTGGCCACGGCATTTGCCGTGTGCTGCCGCAGAGTGGGAGCCCGTCACAGCGGAGAGTCGGCCTGGGGAGTTGCAGGGGTGCGGGGGGATGGAGGGTGACCGGGCAGGCGCCTCGGGGGCCCTCGGGACGCTCTGGGTGCACGATCCGGGGCCTCTCCTGGTACCCGACCGCAGCTAAAACCACAGCTCACGGGGCCCCAACCGCAGGAAATCACGTCTCCTTTTCACACAAACTCAAGCAGAGAGATTTCAGGCACAAGTAATAAAGCAGTTCTGCAAAATATAAAATTTGAGCTTAAAGTTATGAAATGAAGTGGGTGCGGGTCAGGGCTGGAGGGGCCTCATTGCATGTTGAAAGGCTGATTGTCACCCTTTTGTGACAAAGCCAAGCCTCCAGCATCCATTGGAAAGCACATGGGATGTCATCACTGGGAAATAGTGACACGGGAAGAAAGCAGAAGACGACACGTGTTTGTGGAGCATCTTCCTGTGCCAGCCCCTCGGCTCACCCTGCCGTCTGATCCTGGCAGCCACACTGGGTGACAGGCTCTGTGCCTAACGCTGCACATGAGAGGTGGAAGCTTGGAGGGGTCCCAGATGGCTCTCCTGGCGTCAGACTCCTGTGTCCTGATGGCGATACTCTGTGGTCCCTGAACGGCTGTTTCAGACAGAGCCACCTCCTCATGTCTGAGCCCTCACCTGAGCTGTCCAAGCCCTGAGTCTGCCCTCCCGTGAAAAACCGGAAACCTATTGGGAGAGACAGGGTTTCACACTCAGGGTAGCACCTTGCAGAGGCCTCCTTCACACACAGGAACAAAGCAGGGAGGACTCGCAAACATTTGACGAAAACCCCAAAGCGTGAATGAGGCAGAAGAACAAAAATAGAAGAGTGGACCCAGAGGAAACTGAAATCACTCAGAAAATAATAGGCAGTGTTTTAAACACGATCTTAGTGTCCTATGAGGATGTGAGAGGCTGCTCTGGGGTGGGGCGGGGAGGCCGGGTTTGGTTTGGTTTGGTTTGCCTTGTACGTGGGCTGGACCCTCACGTACGCTGGTGACAGAGGTGGTGAGTGGGGGTCCTCTCCTCGCTCCTGGTTCGGGGTCAGTGCTCAGACTCAGATTAAGGACCAAGTTCTTGAGGCTCTTAATCAGGTGCAGGGAGCAGCCTTTGTCAAGACTTGGTTAAACAGGAGTTTTTTTAATATAAAAGATGGCAAATGCTGGGAATTTTTGTCCTTTATTGTATTTATGTGACCTATTATATTAACTGATTTTCATATATTAAACTATCCTTACATTTGGGGATAAATCCCCCATGGCCATGGTGTTTGCTCCTCTTTAAATATTGCTGGATTTAATGTGCTAACAACTTGGTAAGGATGTTTATTTCTGTGCCCATGAGGGGTCTTGGTCCTTGACA